TGCATCCACTTGACTGGGCCACAGGATGTCCAGATATCTGGTTAAACACTATTGCTGGGTGTGCCTATGAGGGTCTTTGGAAGAGATTGGTATTTGAATCGGTAAATCAGTAGACTGAATAAAGCAGATGTCTCTCCCCAAGGTAGGGGGAGGGGGGTGTCTCATCCAATCCACTGAGGACAGAATAGAACAAAAGGTGGAGGAAGGTGGAATTCTCTTTCTGCCTGTCTGCTGAGCTGAGACCCCCATCTTCTGCCCTTGGCGCTCCTGGTTCTCAGGCCTTCAGACCCAGACTGGAATCTATACCATCGGCTCCCCAGCTTTCAGGTCTTCCAAATACGGCACCAGCTCTGCTGGGTCTCCCCTTGCAGATGGCAGAGCATGGGATGTCTTGGTCTGCATAAAATGAGTGAGCCAATTCCTCATGATAAATCTCATTACAGTTATGCTCTGCATAACAACGTTTTGGTCAAGATGGACTGCATATACGAAGGTGGTCCCCTTAGATTATAATGGAGCTGAAAAACTCCTTTTGCCTAGTGACATCATAGCCATAGTAATATCACAGTACAATGCATTACTCATGTGTCCGTGGTGACGCTGCTGTAAACAAATCGACTGTGCTGCCAGTTGCATAAAAGTATAGCACATCCAATTATGTACAGTACATAATTGTTGATGATAATAAATTACTGTTACTGGTTTATATATTTACTGTGCTATACTTTTTATCATTGTGTTAGAGTGTATTCTTTCTACTTATCAGAAAAAAAGTTTGCTCTCAAACAGTATGCCATGTTATACCAGCAGCAGCCTCATACATCTCATGTTTACTGCCTCTTGATTGCATCATTTTCTCGTGGACTTGATTTAATCTCATGTTGTTTTGTGCAGTAACATGCTGCACAGGCTTGTAGCCTAGGAGCAGTAGTCTATATACCACATAGCCTGGGTGTGTAGCATGCTAGGCCACCTGGGTTTGTATAAGTACAGTGATGCTTGCACAGTGATGAAACCGCCTAGATACACACTTCTCAGAACGTATCCCCATCATCAGGTGGCGTATAACTATATAGAGATAGAGACAGATAGAGATAGAGATAGAGATAGAAATAGAGATAGAGATAGAGAGATAGTCTGTTTTTCTAGATAAGCCTGACTTATACACCCTCCCAGTCATTTCGTAACCCCAGCTCCAGCTCCAATTGTCCCCTGAAAATATTCTCATCAAAGTCCACACCACCTTCACATTGCTGATTCCAGGGACCACTTCTCTGCCCCGTCTTACCAGATGTCTCAGCACCACTTGACGCTCTGAATCATTCTTTTCTTCTTGAAACCCTCTACTCTCTCGGCCCCCAGGCCCGCTCTACCCTGCCTCTTTTCCTTATCTCTGGCAATGCCTCAGGCTTCTCCAGGGCTCCTCTCCTTTCACCTGCCCCTTGAGTGCTGGTGTTGTAGTATCTCACCAGCATCTGCCTGACAATTCACTCCTCACTTTGCTTCCCACCACACAGGCAGACAGCTGTCCCATTAAGTGATTCCTGAAAAAGCAGGCGGTCAACCCACAACTCTGAGTAGAACCTGATGTGGCCCCTTGCAGGGCAGAGGGGCTTGGGGCACTTGTGTGTTGGGAGACAATTCTCCATGGCTATGACAAGTTTCTGCATGTTCCAGGTCCTCTAAGCCAAGAAATCTATAGCCAAGGTAAAAACATTGGTACAAGGAGACATTCCTACATAGTTAAACTTACAGACGTCTCCCTCCAAGGAGCCAGTTCAGAGTGGTAAAGGTAAAGAGATTTGCTTGCATTCTAAGGCAATTTTCCCCCTGAAAGGGAGAAAGGACAGGTCATTAGCAGCCCTATAGAATATCAGAGTTCCCCAAATTTGGGATTCCTCTCCTGTGATACACCTCATTGCATTTGCAGATACCATTTGGCCCCCTATTGCACAAACGAGGTCACAGGGCCAAGCCACATTCAAGAGGGGAAAAGACTCCCTGGCTGCTGCTTTTGCTGTGAATAATAAACCGCCTTTGTTTCTGACCCAGAGACTTCATGTTCTCTGTCAAGAGTATCAAAGTGTAGTGGCAGGCTAAATGTTTTAGCTTTCCAGTAGCGGGAAATCTCAGGCCCTCCAGAGCTGCAAACCAAATAGGGGGAACCACCTTCCTTACAGGGCAGGGATGGATTGGGCACGGATTCCCAGCTGAGTGGGCAGACGGGCACTACAAAGGGGGGATTACTTCTCTGGGCCAGACACCAAGAGCAGTGTTTGGGTGCTCTGTTGCTGCACCCAAACAAACAAACAAACAAACAAATAAACAAACAAACAAATCACCCTAAAACCTAGTAGCTTAATACAACAAATTATTATTTCTCAAAAATCTGGAATGAGTTTCCCGCTTCACATGGTGTTGTCTGGGACTCTGGAATGGCTGGAATGCCAGAAATGGCTTCACTCACATGGCTGACAGTTAGTGCTGACTGCTGTCTGAGGAACTCAGCTGGGGCTGGTGACGAGAGCCTTGGTTCTCATCTACCTGTGCTTCTCCATGTGCCTGCTTGGGCTTTCTCACAGTACGGCAGCTGTGTCCAAGAAAGTATTCCCAGAAGTCAAGGTGAAAGCTGCAGCTCCCTTCAGGTCTAACCTGGGAAGTTACATAGCATCCCTTCTGCCACATTCTATTGATCAAAAGAGGTTATAGGGCCAGTCCACGTTCAGAGGGAGGGGGCATAGATGGTACCTTTTGATGGGGGAGTGTAAGGTCACATTGCAAAGGAGCACATGGGATGGGGGCTATTACTGAAGCTGTCTTTGGAGGTACAGTCTACCACAGAGGGACTATACAGTAGTATTTCTCCAAGTGCAGTGAGCCCTACCAGCATGAGAATCCAGAACCAAGTCCAAACTTCTTAGTCTAGCATTCCAGGTGCTCCTTGTCTTGGCTCTGCTGGCCTCTAGTTGACCTCCTCACTTGTCTTGTCTGACACTATGCTCTGGCAACAATGCATTTCTTGACACTCCCTTGTACATAACAAGCTGTTTAACTGACTTCACACCTCGGTCCATAACTGTTCCTTCTACCAGGAACAACTTCACTTTTTCACCTGATCAAAGACTTAATCATCCTTTAAGATAGCTTTGTGTCACCTTTTCTAGGAAGTCTTCCTAACCTCTTTTCCCCCATGGATTGGGTTAGGTGTTCTCACAGCCTGCGTGCTCACTCCCATCATAGCGTTTACCAACCTGTAATGTCATTGTTAATTTGTCTGTCTCCTTCTCTTGACTGTGAGCTTCTTAGGCAGGGGTATGTCAGATTCTATCTCTGTCCTGTAAGTCCTAAGTTTGCTTAACTGTATTGCAAGTCTGATAGTGTCACCGTGAAGTCCTCTTTGGCCTAATCCTCCTTGAAGAATATGGCATTTAAAATAGGTTTAAAAGTTCACCATTTTCTTCCTGACAAATCTCAAGGCAGCTAGGATGCTTGCAGCTCCTTGTAAGAAAGTACTTGACTATAAGTGGGTGTCAGTCAGCTTGGGCTGCCGTAACAAAATACCATAGACTAGGAGGCTTAAACAACAAACCTTTATTTTATTACAGTCTGGAGGCTGGAAAATGCAAGATCAAGGTTCTGGCAGGGTTTGGTTCCTAGTGAGAGCCCTTTTCCTGGCTTGCAGACAGCTGCCTTCTCACTGTGTCCTCACATGGCCTTTCCTCGGTGCTTGATCGTAGAGAGTGTCTCTTTTTGTAAAGGGATTAATCCCATCATACTAGGGCCCCGTCTGGATGACCTAATCACCTCCCAGAGGCCTCATCTGCAAATATCATCAATTGGGAGTAAAGGCTTCATCTTAGTTTAAGGGGGAAGGACACAAACATTCAGTCTACGATAGCGTGTTGAACATTTGACAACAATTTTGGAAAACCAGCACACTGCAGGAGGTAGGTCTCCACTGTGTCTGGAGATCTTCCTGTCCTTCTTCTCAGCCCTCCTCACCCTGTTGCCCTTTCACCTCAGGCTCACTCCCTCTTGTCAGTAAGATGGCTGCTGGGGCTCCAACCATCACATCCTCAAGCTTCAGTTTGAAGTTATTAAGTTGGTAGGGCAAGATGGGTGTGGGATAGGAAGTGGACACTCCATGTCTTCAGGTCTGCTTTTTAACAGGGTGGTAGGTCTGCTGTCCATAACCAGGGCAATCATAGGCTAAGGGCCTTAGTCATCACTGCCAACAAAATCAGGGGTGAGTTGACAGCGAATGAGAAGTTGGATAGGTGAACTCTAATTAAATGAGCAGGGAAATAAGTCTAGTCCAGGAATCAAATGTCCTAAATGCCTTTATCATCAGATATTGACTTGATTTTCATAGTGGTGATTTAACCAACAGAAGTTAAATGTTAGTCTTAATATAAACCAAGGGCGGAAATCCTGAGGGTGAGGGCTGCATCAGAACACTTGGTTGCCCTACAGATGGTGGGGAGGTGGGTTTTGTGGGAGGGAGGGAGAAACAGGGTGGGGAGGAATTGCTAAAATGTATGGAATTGCTCCTGCTTGGAGATATCGAGACCGGGAGCTTCAATTTCCCCCACCCCAAAACTTTGCTGGGAGGAAAAATTGATTGAAAACAAACCATTTGTAATCCTTGAATTTCCCTAAACTTTTTTTAAAAACCCGTATCTACATAGTCAATCTGGTAGTTTCCTGAGCAAAGCACGTTCTGCATCATCCGTTTGTAGACTGTGACCCCAAGTGGCTTCACAGCGACCAGGTTGCTCAAGCCCGTAGGGCCTCTGCCCCCAGTCCCGGCTCCCCCAGCGGGCGCCCAGGTGGGCGTATGCGGGTGGGGGGCCCAGCGCGGGCCCGAGCGGCCCGCGCAGCGTACCCCCGCCCCACCCCCGAGCCTCCCCACCCCAGCGCGCGGGGCCTTGTGGGTAACGCGGGGCCACCAGGTGACAGCTAATGGCGGCAGCCGCCTAAGCCGGCTGGCTGCAGATCGCAGCGTAGGAGGCGCGGCGAGACCTTCCGGGCGCCGCTCCCCTCCTGACTGCGGCTTCCCCGCGGCGGCGGCAGGCTCAGCGCGCCATGGACCGGCCAGCGGCGGCGGCGGCGGGTGGCGAGGGCGCTGGGGGTCCGGGCCCGGGACCGGCTGGCGGCTGGAGGCCGCCTCGGGTGGCGGGGGGCCCTGCCGCTGGCTCCCGGCAGCCCAGCATGGAGACCTTGGACAGGTAAGCGGGGCCCGGCCTGCCTCGGCTTCCCGCGCTCCGAATCCCAAGGGCCCCTCTCGAGGCCCGGACTCCGGGCCCCGCGCGCCGGGCTGATGCCGGGGTGCGGCGTCCCCCTCCTGGGTCCCCTCCCGGGTCCCTCGGGAGGCCCCAGAATCCCCTCCCAATATCCCGGGCCCCCGCACCTGGCTCACTTCCCCCTTGCGCGCAGGAGTTCCCCGCACCCCTGGGGGCCTTTGCAGCTGTCAAACCATTTCCCCTGCCACTTCCTACCGCACCTTGGAACCGCCTGAGCTGGCCTTGTCGGGGCCACGAATCACTGGGGAGAACATTTCACCCAGCCTCTCCTCTTGTAGAGGGACCTTGCCTCCGTGTGATTTGAAGACCAACATCCTGCCGCAGCTGCTTGGGGTCTTTGATGTTGGGGTTAGGAGTGGGGACTGGGGAGTGAGGGGGCGGAACCCCGCGGGTATTGGAACTGGTGCAGATAGAGGCAAACATACTCTGATTTGAAAAACTGGGATGGAACACGTCCAAACTGCTCCTGATGCAGAACACACAATCGTTTACTTTCAGTTTTTCACACTTGGAAGGAACTGGCTCGTTGTTTTCGTGAACACAGAAACCTACTGCTTCTTACACAGTTGTAGGACTAAGATCCATCAGTTAGAAGCATAAACTGACTGTGTCCAACTGGAAGGGCCACCCTAACGCCCCAGCACGAGGGGCAGGGACCCAGCGCCCGGAATATCCAGCTTTTCCACATCTTGGCTATTTCGCTGACAGCAGAGTGCAGTTAGGCAAGACAGACAGCTCCCTCAGGCTCAGATGTTGGTTCTTGCCTGTCTTACACCAGTGAGCTGAACTTTTGGGAGTTTCCAAAGGCACAAGAACAAGAAACACTCCCTTTGTTTCTGCTCCAGTGTAATTACAGTGTGTTTTAATAAGTTAATCACCCAAATGCTCAGCTTCACTGAAAACTAATCACAGCTAAGACAGTACTTGGAAGGGTCAGGATTTCAGTCATTGTGGATATTCTTGGATACTCTACAGTGTCTCAGGGCTTGGAGAGCCAGCGAATATTTGCTCTCTGGCTTATCATCTAGTGGAGAATACAAACCAACAATTTAAATCCACTGTGATAAGTGCAGGGGTAGGGTAAACACGGAAGCGCTCTGGATGGGATGAGCGTGGGAATCCTCTGAGAAGCCATTTAAAGAACTCCAGGTGGCTGGACTGCACTCCTGAGGCTTCTGATTCAGGAAGTTCACGGGGAGGCCCAGGAGTTGATAGTTTCTACAAAGTTCTGCAGCCTCAGTTGGGATCTGCTGTGCTGTGGGTACACAGAGGTGGGGGACTTGATTTATTTGTTAGTGGTGGTGGTGGTGGGGGGGTTGGTGAACATGGACAGTAAGAGAGGGCCTTCCGAGGAAGCTGACATTTGAAATGAATAGCGAAGAATAAGAAGTTAACCGTGGGACAGGGTGGCGAGCGGCTTTTGGGGCATGGGGAGTGGAATGTGCAGTCATGCAGGCGGTGCTACATGCGGGGGAACTGGCAAGGGGGAAGACTCCTGGGAAGGCAGAGACCAGATCTCGGAGGGGCCCACATGCCTTGCTAGGGAATTATGCCTTCATCCTCTAGGCCAGTGCTTCTCAGGGCACAGTTCTGTCACCTCCAGTGCTCCATGCAAATGCACAGCCTTGGGTTCCACCCTAAATGTAGTCCGTCCATCTCTGGGGTGGAGCCTGGAATTCTGCATTTTTAACAACCACCTGCTCGACCAGTAAGTTGGGCCATGTGGCCTCTTTGGCCCAGGTTGGTACTGATTTACTGGTTGGGCACTATAATTAATAGTGTCCTCCTTCAACTCACAGTAGTGTCTTGATTGGGACAAGAAATTATATGGTCACACTAGCTGCGGGGACCACAGAGGGATTTCCATCGGGTGAGCTACAGGATGGGACTGACGTTTGAGAATGATTGCTGTGCAGTAGCATGGTGAATGGACTGGAGGCGGGGCACCATATTTAGCAGATTATGGAATTGCTAATCGCTCAACTCGTGTATTCTGTGAATACGAGTGCCTCTCTGCATCAGGTACTGTGTTGGGCTGAGGGTATACCAGGGAACAGACATGAATTCCTGCCCTTGTGGGGCATATGTTTGGTGGGAGAAAGATGAAAAACAGGGGAAATGTGTTCCCTGCTAGATGGTGATCAAGTGCTAGAGGAAAAAAGTAAGTAGGGACAGGGATGGGAAGTGTTGGCGGGATGCACCTGGGCAGTGGTTAGAATTTGATGTAGGATGGTCAGGGAAAGCCTAGCTGAGAAAGGTGACATTTGAATAGTGCCCCCCAAAGAGACGAGGGATCCGGTCATAAAGATATCTGGGGCGATGGCATTCTAGGCAGAGGCTTGTGCATCCTGGGGTGGGAGTGTGAGCAAAGTGTTCCAGGATCAGCAAGGAGACGTGTGTCACTAGCGGGGAGGGAGCTCGGAAGAGAGCAATAGGGTCGAGGGGCAGAGAGGTCACAGGGATAGGTGGTGGAGAGTCACGGGGAGCCATTGGGGGTCTTGGAGCAGAGGAGCGACATAATGTGGTGTAGGCTTCAGTACGATCTCCATGGCTGCTGTGTGGACAGCAGACTGAAAGGGAAGGGGTTTGAAGCAGAGAGATTAGCAGGTAGGAAGCTACTGGAGTCATCCAAGTGAGATAGGATGGTGGCTTAGACTGGAGCAGTGAGGTGGAGGAAGGGAGAGGTGGTCGGATTCCGGATAGAATTTGAAGAAAACCTGCAGAGTAGAGCCAATAGGGTTTGCGAACGAATATTGATTGTTGGGTACGAGAGAAGAAAAAGTCAGGACAATCCCAAGGTTTCTGGCTTGTGGGAAGTGGTGTTGCCAAGATGGAGAAGCCTCTAAGTGGAGCAGTTTTAGGAGACTGGCAGGCTCTAAGCTCTGGATATATCAGTAATGAGATGCCAGTTATATGTGCCAGAGGAAGGTAGTTTATGTGAGCCTGGAGTTCAGAGGTGGTGTCTGGGCTGCAGACCTCCATTTGGGAGTCATCGGCATAGAGATGGGGCTTAAATTCACAAGGCAGGAGGAGAACACAAGAACGCTGGGCATCTGGAATCGGAATCGAGCCGGATGCATCCTCATGATACTTATCAGATAACAGCAACGGGATTTGGTGAGCATTCAGATGCAAGAGTGAAGTGGAGGGGTGGGCTCGAAGGGAAACCCCAGCTTTCGGGCCTGGGGGGCCTGGGTAACTTGCTGTGCTTTCCCCTGATTTAGGAATCATGGGGCTGATGCTGGTTCAGACAGGTTGAGCTGGCAGAGTCTCTGGGACCGACTAGTGGAGCTGCCTCCTGGGATCATGGACACTCAGATCGGAAGGGAGAGTCCAGGTTGGAGAAGCAAAGCTGGGAGCCCCCAGCCTGCAAGTGCTTGTTGATACCAGGCGTGTGGTGGGGGAGAAGGGAGATGGCTTCCCTTCTCCGTTCTACGATGGTGACAAACTGATTCACACTCTAAGAGCGACCCCCAGAGTGAAACCTGGCTCTCCAGGAGTGGCTCAGCCCCTTCCTGTGGACTGTGGGGCCTTCCCCTCTCGTCTGAATACTGTACTTCTCTTAATGATTCAAAGCTGTGGTCCTGCAAGAGGATGTGGCTTGTTCAAGGTCACGGAGCCAGCTGGTGAGAGACAGGACTCAGATCCAGGTCGGCTCTCTAGCTGCCCACTACAGCATGCTGTTTATAACCTGTTGGCCAGGATGCTTCTGGTTGCAGGTGACGAAAAGCACCAATCTCTCCAGCTTAAGCCAGAAAGGAACTGTCTTGGCACATGTCACTGCTGTAGATGGAGGAAAGATGGCCATGGGCACATCTGGAGCCAGAGTTGCAAACAATGTTGTCAGCCCTCCTTCCCCATCTCTTGTTTTTTCCTTGCTTACTCTGTATATCTGTGGGTTTCTCAAGGTGGTGAGGTGAAGAGCGGCCTCCAGTGGGGCTGGGGCAGATCCAGACAGCCCAGGGCCTAAGAGAAAAGCTTGGGATTGGCCTGACCTGGGTCACTCCCTTGCAAGTAGGGGCATGAGGAGCAAGGGGTGAGCCCCCCTCTCCTTTCTCCTCCTCTTCCACAGAAGCCTATGGAGTGGGGAGGGGGCCGTTCCCCACCGTAGAGAGCAGTGTCCTTATCAGAAAAAGGGGGTAAGGATGCTGGGCAGATGGTAGCAACAGGTCACCTACAGTGGGTGGACGGGCGGGTTCCCACTGTTAGATTTGCAATCAGAGGTTGGTGCTGGCAGAGGAAAAGGCCACATGACAAGAAACCTATGCTAGAACCAGGCGATAAAGGTGACTTCACCTATGAAAAGGAAACTAAAACCCCTCCCTTTTCCCCCCTTCTTCCTCTTACTTAGAAACCATGGTAAATGAATTCTCGACATAGGAATGTCTGCCCATTCAGTGAACGTTTTGACTTATATTTTCATCCCCATAGATAACCACTGGACTATCTTGAGAGACTGCCAAGTTAGGTCACTAGTAGAGAACATCAAATACCTTTATTTTACTATTGGGTCGTTGGAAAAGTCATGACGTATTTTTCTTTGTTTTTCGTTGCAAAAATGCCTCATGACTTTTCCGACGACCCAATATTGAGGTTGTTTTACATACCGCCTACGGACTCCAGGTTGTTCTATCCTTCCAACACATGAGTGTGGATTGAATTAGTGATGAGAATTTTAAAGGTCTGGAATATTCTTTACAGTGAAAGCTACCCGCAGGGTAAACTTTCATAAGCATATTTTGCCCTCTTGCTTGACTTCTTCAGTGCTTTGACCAGTTGAGAGAGAAGCCTTGGCCCGGGGGCGCATTTTAAACTTCTCTCTCTGCCTAGTTTGCTTATGTGCTTCTTTAAGTCAGATGAGCACAGCCCGACTGCTTACCAGTCATGTTACCTTGGCCAAACACCGGGGCCTCAGTTTTCTCATCCATAAGATGGGTCACTGTGAGGCTGGAGTGAGGCTATATGTGGAAATGTGTTGAATACTTTAGAGTACCATGCAAGTGGCAGGTGCCATTCTCTTTGCATTGTGTTGTCGTATAAGACAGTGGCTAGCACCTGTGGCGCTGGCCTGTTTTGCTCTCTAGCTCAGTACGTCGGTCACTACTGGTTGTGCCATGTTCTGGAAGGCCAGCCCTAGTGGAGCTGGAGGCAGGCCTAACTCTTTCTGATGGGGCATGTCACCTCTGCACCTCAGTTTCTCGCCTCAGAAACAAGTGCCCTAGTCCCCGGTCTGTCTTCTTATCACACCGTGGTTTGAGGCGCTGATATAATGACGGGCTGAAAGAACATTTTGTAAGTTGTCAAAGCACTTACAGAAGTGTAAGGTAGCTTTATGACTAGACACAGGACATCATTTGTCTGGTTGTTCTTTTGAAAATCACATAATCAACTTTGCTGCATTAAGAGTCATGTTGATTCACTTGAAATGACATTATTTCCTGGATTGAAAACTACCAACACAAAATTGAATGGTTTTTAAAAATCAATTATTTATAATTTTTCAATGACAGTTGACATTCAGTATTATATTACTTTCAGAGGTTCAGCATAGTGATTAGACATTTATATAATTTATGCAGTGATTTGAAAAGCATATCCTGTAAGATAAATATTTCACTTTAGAATTAATTTTCTATATACATTACATTAAGAATATTCACCCTATATAATTGTAATCATAAGAGAGTAACATTCAATTAAATGATAGAGAATAACATGCTTAGAATCTTAAACTTAAAAAAAATTGTTGATTCACATAAAATCAACCTGGAAACTAATCTTACTTCCTAGTTGTCAGTCAGTATTTCAGTTCTTATATTAAATGTAAACATAACTGAATAGTGTAATAAAAGTTCATTTTCTAAAAACAAAAAAAAGAAGAAGTGTACATATATCTCCAGTCGGTGCTCAGTTGTTCTCACTGCGAGCCTGTGTCTTAAAATATTTTAATCACACTATTTCTTTTAGTCCTACAGGATCACATGTTGAATGGTGTAAACAGCTTATAGCTGCTACAATTTCTAGTCAGATTTCAGGTTCAGTGACATCAGAAAATGTATCCCGAGATTACAAGGTAAGCAGCACTGAGTCCTTAATTCATTTTCAATATGTTACATAGCCAAGAAGCTTTGCAGTTTTTTTGTTTTTTGTTTTTTTTATTGGGTAATTGGGGGGATGGGAACAGTACTGGATTAGGGGAAGGGGAACAGACAAGTTGCTGTCGTTTTGTTCTTCAATCTAGTTGTGGAGGACACTGCTTCACTGGCCCAAGTTGGCACCATCATTGCGCTCTTCCCGGGCGAGGCAGATCAGTCGCCGGCTTCTGGACGGCCGCTCACTGCGGCTGCTGGCCGCTCACTGCGGCTGCTGGCCACTCACGCTGGCTGCTGGCCGCTCACGCTGGCTGCTGGCTACATACGGTAGCCCATGGCAACCCACTGCTACAGGGACTGCAGCCTACGCCGTCGCCAGCGACTCACGGCAGCCCAGCTCCAGGTTGAGCTGTTGTTCAGCATCTTAGCTGTAGAGGGCAGTGTCACTGGCCCTCATATGTGGGATCCGAACCGGGGCCCTCTGGCATCCCAAGCGAGTTCTTAACCATCGCGCCACTCGGCCGGCCCAGCTTTGCAGTTTTAATTCGAGTGAGACTTTGGCCCATTTGTGCTGGATGACGATTTGCTTGGGGGCAAGGCTGAAAGGTTCTCAGTTGTTAGATGTGAACTTTAGAAGATAAATTTCACCAGGATCTAGTAGTGTATGCGGTCATAATTTTGCAATTGAGAGGAAAAGCTGTCTTTAGATTATGCTCTTTCTTTTAAAAGTCCATTTCCATTTTATGATTTATTATGCATTTTATTACATATTGTAGTTTTATATTTTATCATAATAAATACCTATATTTTCTTTGCTAATATTCTGAATTTCAGAAAACACCTCATGTACAGTATTTCCCTAATGTCACAATTTGTTTCTGTATTTAGGTACTACCTGCGGGTATTCAGTATTAACATGGGATACTAGGATGCAGAAAACTTACAAAATCTCAAGAATATTTATGGGAAGCCTGAGTTTTTAGTCCTTATTGAATTAAGAAATCTCTTTTTGTTTATCTTAAAAGTCGGATTTCCTGCTTATTATAAAGTTAAGAGTGATAAGCTCCTCAGCAGAGGAGGGGGCTGAGGTTCTTTTACTCACCACTGCTTCCCCAGCATGATCCTGGAACTTAGCAGGTGCTCAATCAATATTTGTTGAACCAATTAACAAATAAGAAACTTGGGTACTCCACCTTTGTTAAGGCTGAAGACTGACATCGTTTGAATGTCAATAAACTATTAGCAGGTACATGAAATGAAACCATGTTTACATTTCAATAGTAGTGTTTGCTTGAATTGAGGTTTCAGTTCATTGTAGTCAGTTTTGCCGCTAGTAAGAGATAATTGATTTTCACAAGTATGTGTGAATTACATTTAGAATCCCTAACTCCCCTCAGTCAACAGTCTCTCCAAATCATGGTCCTTGCCTGGCATCAAATCTTACAAACAATTCAAGAACTATAGTTAAGATCCTAATTCACTCCTAATAGCTGCTCCTTGTTTAAGGACTTTGGCCTCAGTTCCTCTTTAGCTCATAATATACAAGTGCAGACCTACTCAAGAGGCCGTGTAATTGAGATTTGGCTGTCTTGCTGCACTTGCTTCATCCAAGCCGTCGGATACTGTTGATTACACCTTCCGAAGGAAAACAGGGCTGTGGATTAGTAGAAATTGGGTGGTCTGCCCAGCCTGAAGAGTGACAGTATATTCCTTAATAGGAGTCCCTGCTATCTCGTTTTTCTGTGTTTGCCCACATGGGAGTAGCTGGGCCTCCTGGGCCTCAAAACCCAGCTGGGCAAATATGCCATGTCCAGGCGGGAGAAACATCTGCTGCATCACCGATACCTGAGTGTGGTCACCGAGCAGCTGCAGACCCCACCGGTCCCAGTTGCCCTATTGCCCCCACCTTAGCTAAGAAACTGCCCTGCTGAGTCGAGAGGCTCAAGGACCCATATTAGCAGAAAATAGCTCTCAGACCTTGGAGTGGTTTTCTTTATGGACAATTATGAGTTAACTGTAATGTTTTTATTTGGTTGAATATTTGTTAGTGCTGTGTGGGCTCCATAAGAGATTGAACATGGACTGTGTGCATAGCTTTTGGACCTGTACGTTAATAGATCAGACCGAGTCTGTACTTGACCGTGAAGCAACTAAGTTTTTTTTTCTTTCAATTTTAGTCTATTTACAAATTTTGTGTAGCAGAATTAACTCATATTGCAGTGGTTTAACAGATGGTATTCAGGAAAAAAAATAAGGCTTTTCTATATTTTGTAAATTGAATTTTAAGTACCTACATCAGATCATAGCTAAAGCCTTTGATGAATTACTATAGGGGAGTATGTTTTATAATTGTTTTTTTATATTTACCCTGTAGCCAAGTCTTGAAAGTTGGCATTAAAATTAACTTTCTGGAGTTATGTTTTATTCCAGAAGAGAGGGTTTTTTTTAAACTAATAAGTATTTATTTATCCTAAACCACAAAGATAATTTTATGTGCTACTTATAAAGTCATTCTTAAAATCAGAGTAACCAAGACGGGCCTCTGGGACACCTCTGGCCTGGGAGCCATTGCGTGTGGTTTCCCCTGAAGGCCCAGACACAAGTCCTTTAGGATTTAATTTGCAGTCATCAGTTGATAATATTTGAAATTATCTATTGTGTAAATATCTTATTTGAAATACACACTCAATTTGGGGGTTAATTTATTCTAGGTTAAACACAAGGTCAGTAATTAAATGGGAGCAGATGTTCACACAGAGCAGAGAGCACTGGCATCTTTTGTTTTCGGTTACAGTTGCTTGCATCTTGATTTCAAATGCTGATTGTTTTCTGAGCTGCACGCTGCCGAGAGCGCTTCCACATCACCATCCTCATCCATCTTTTAGCACGTTCAAGGAGGGCTCTATGGTGTTTTAATACTTTTTGACATATCATCTGTTTAAGCCTTATATGATAAGCTTTTATTATAGTCATCATTAAACAGATGAAGAAAGAAACCAAACATCAGAGAGGTTAGGTGATTTGCTCAGTATCACACAGTCAGAGTTGGGATTTGAACCCAAATCATTCTATTGAAAAGCTAGAGTGAGTTTTAAAATTTTGTCCCCCCCTCCCATCCACTGTTTTTCAAAATGGGGCCCTTGGTTCTTCACACATCAGCCCTCCCTGGGGTGCCTGCAAAAATGCCGCTTCCTTGGTCTCCATCCCACTCGGTGAATCAGAATCTCTGAGGGTGGGGAGCCTAGTGCCTCATACCTTTCTTATGGACAATACAATCTGAAAAGCTAGGCTTCCGAGGTTTGTATTTGAAATCCGTGGTGGGGCCATACATTTTTCGTATATGCCCACAAGTCTGAATAATTAGCAACTCGTGTTAGATTTTGGAGAACCATTGTTTTATTATTTATTCACATCATAAGCTGACGGCTCAGGATCAGATGACTCAAAATGTGGTAAGAATATCCCTGGTATCACACACGAGGAGTTTAGATGGTATGTCCATGGACATGTTTTAACAGTTAGGTAATTGCTTTAATGTATATTAGACAAAACTAGCACATCAAACGTGTGATCCAGTGGATGTTACTGCTTAGAGCTAGGCCAAGCATGAAAAAGGAGTGGATTTTAAGTGACTATAAAGATAAATACTAATATTAATACAAGCGATATGTAGATACAACAAACCAAACTCATAGAGGTGGTATATGAAATGACAGACATGTGGATAAACTAAATTAATGAATGTGTACTTTAATACCAAGTCATCCTGAAGATTTGCCTGATAATTAAGACTACTAGTAGAAATATAATAAAATGGTTTGTTTTGTTTGCCCCCTCCCACTGCCAGCTCAGTTTTACTGGGCTAAGAGTAAAATTCTCTGTCTTGAATTTGTCAATAAATTGAAGAACAAGATCGGAATGTAGTGTTCCATAGATTAGATGAAATAATACAGTCACAAATCATAATGAAACATTTTTAGTAACTATTAGTAGAAATGACAGTTGATCAGTTTCCATTGTTGGGAAAGTGGAACTAGGCCAGGAAGAAGGGAGCGTGATGGAGTAGTACAAACAGTACTAGCTTTGTGACCCTGTATAACCTCTGAGTGTCAGTTTCCTTATCTGTAAGGATAAGAGAGTTTGGATTAGATTGTGTCTAAATTCCTTTCTTTCTACAACATTTTTCAATTCTGTTCTGTCCAAAAGGATTTGATCCTGGCCAGCCTTCAGGAAATTAGGACACTCGTTTTAAGCAATCATCTTCCTTCCTCTGGCTCCATCATTGTCGTTATCATCCTCACCTCTCTGTACCTCTCCTCTCGTCTCTCCTCCCCTCATCCATGCACACACAGTAGCTAGATCTCTTCTTTAAACACTCTGAAGAAAAAGGAAAAAATAGAGAGGGTCCTGTACTCAGTTGAATCATTTAATAGGTTAGCGCAGTGATTAAATTCTGGTTTCTGAACAGAAATTTCCCAAAGGGCTTTGGAGGGAAGTGGGATGCAGTGTGTGAGAAAGGCTTCAGGGTACTTGAGCTGGGTCCTAGTTACTGTTTCCTAAACTGAGTAGTAGTCTGTGGGAAGGGAAGTATAAGCATGATCTTCCAGAATCCATGGCTGTAATCTGTTGTTGATAGCTTGGCCTCATGGTCTGTTTATTAAGTCAGAGTTTGCAAATGCAAACGTCTACATGGGAAAGTTGGCCAGCCAGGCAGACTTGGGAGGGAGCTGTAAGAGAACTGGAGAGTACAGCATGTCCCCCTAAAAACAATTAAATTAGAAAGACACCCTGCTACTGCCTGTTGGAGCAGTAGGCCTCCAGTTTATAACCACTGTAATAGAAGAGTGCTAGCCTATCTCCCAGGGTTTTGTGTGGGGAAGAATTCTTGCTGAAAAATATCAAAATTTGAGCTTCCTCTTCTGGAAAGGTGGAGCAGATGTATTTTTTCTTATTCTTCACAGTAAGTACAACTAGAAACCTT